AAAAATAAGTATGCTATTTCACAGGACTGTAAATTGCTTTAGAGCAGATCTCTCTTTTAGTGAATGGTGCTAGCAGTTAGAAAATTTGAATAAGAAAGACCAGGGTGAGACCCAAGGGGAGAAGGACAGAAGGCTCAAGAGAGATCTTGGAGGTGTTGAACTCAAGGAAGAACAGGGTGGAAGGCCTGCTCCGGGATGAAGGGACTCTGGAGCGGGAGAGGGTAGAGCATATAAGACACTATTAATTCACTGGGACAAACAACCACACCCACAACTTAAAGGAAAAGAGGTCTATTTTGGCTCATGGTTTAGTCCAGTCAGCTGACCTCAAGGCAGAAAAGGCATTATGGAGGGCAAAGCAGAGGAAAGCTGCTCAATCCACAGAAGCCAGAGAGTAGAGAGAGAAGGGAGGAGCCAGGGAGAAACATATACCCTGCAAAGGTATGCCTGCAGTGAAATACCTCCTCCAATCAGACCCCACATCCTAAGAGCACATACAGCTATGAACTCAGCAATCGGCTAATCCAGTGATGAGCATAACACCCCCATGTCCAATCACCTTCCAAAAGCCAACTTTTGGGGGTCATTCCAGGTCTAACCATGGCAAGGAGAAAAGAACAGAGGTAACAAGGGCTAGAAGACAGGGAAGGGAGTAAAACATTTGCGAGAGCTAGTCAAGGAAATAAAGGAGGAAAGGCATACAGATACAAAAGATAACTTCAAAGGCATCCCCATGTTTAGAAGAACTGTGCCCAAATCTTTGCTGAAGTACAGCAAAAATTAATAAATAATTACTTAATTCTTAAAAACCTGGAGAAAGCCAGGCATGGTGGCACACACCTGTAATCCTAGCAATTGGGAGGTTGAGGCAGGAGGATTGCCACAAGTTCAAGGTCAGCCGGGCTACGTAGTTAGTTCGGGGCAGCCTGAACTATACAGCAAGACCCTGTCTCAATCGCCCCCCGCAAAAAAAAAAACTGGAGAAGTCTTACACAAGATATGCGCAAAAGCCTTTTACACGTATACAAGTAAGCCAAGCTGTCACTTAAAGATCTCATAAACTATGATCTTACAAGGAGAAACAGATTTGGTGACTATAAAGGTTTTTTTTTTCCAATTAATTTCTTCATTTTTAGGTCCTTGCTCTTCAAAACATAAGTCAATTGAGTTAATTTAATCTAGGAGATATGATAGACATTGAGAATTGATAGGAAGGCACTCATAGGTAAAGGATAACTGGGATATGGGAAAAGAGAAGGGAAAGAAGGAGAAAGTTTGTATATATGTATATGCAGGATAGTTAACACGGTGTTCTACTGTCCTGTATTTCCTTGCTGAAAGAAACTGTCAGTGAGGCATTGGTTGATTAGCTTTGTATGTCTATATGTGTTTTCATGAGAAACTACATTGAAGATATCAATATGTAATACAATAAGCATTGTTAATTCCCTACCACTCTGTTTGTAACTCTGTAATGTCTGTACTGATCCTATGCTATTTTGTAAAATGTTGTCGGTCTGTTAATATCTTCCTCCTTTTATTTCTAAAATAAAAAAAAAAAATAAGTCAATTAAGTATATGCTTTTGAAAAATAAGTACATTTCTTGCTTGGACTTTTATTATGGTAAAATATAAATAACAATATTTATCACTTTAATTATTGTTAAATGTAAATTGATTGACATTAAATACATCGATAGTGTTGTCCAACTGTCACCATTATCTATTTACAAAATTTTTTCATCATCCCAAACAGAAACTTGTAACTCTCGAACACTAACTCCCCATTCTTCTCTCTCGCAGTCCTTGGTAACCTCTTTACTTTCTGTTTTTATGAATTTCCTTATTCTGAGTACCTCATGTAATTGGAATCATAAAATATTGGTATGATTTATATGAATATCTGTATACCTGATATAATCTACATGTCCAACATGATAGGGAAATGAAGATGTTAAAAATGGTATAGTCATACAATGGAATATTACACAACAATAAAAAACCATCTGCATTTTTAAAATTTCAAAAACAATACTGACTATAAGAAGTTGTGGAAGAATAAGTATAGTATACTATTTATGTTGAAGACACACCAAAGTACATTACAAATAACATATAGCCACAGTTCAGTGAATTTATAAACATACTGAAAAATATATACCAACTTCAGAAAAGTAATTGTCTCTGGGATGAGAAAGAAGTGAGACTACTTAATGTTTTAGAATAATAATATGCATGCTTGGAAGTGGAGAATCTTCTCATATAGATCAATTATAGTTTTATTCTTTTAGTAAATTTAATTGGCTGCCTCATAAAATTTTTAAATTAAAAATTGACACACATTCATATAATCTTTGGAAGATAGTCTTTAAAAAGTTAATCAATGTGAGTATTATTATGGTACTTGAATCTGCTCAAACCTGCTGTGATAAATATACTTTTAAAAGTAAATAATTTGAAAATGTCTATACCTATTAGTAAAAAAAAATTATATTTACCTTCAGCCATATATATACAACAAACCACAGTAGATCACTGATGCTCTAGCATACAGAAACTCTATAGCCAAATCCAAACATCTAAGGAGGATAAAAACGTCTGCGCTGGGCTAGATCCCCGGTCTTCCTGTTAGGTTCCCTATTAAGCCCAGTGAAATGGAAGATAAAAGTTGTATAAATGATTTTAAATAAATAAGACATTATGGTGTTATTTTTTTATAATGTGGAAAAACTAGAAATAAGTCTATTATTGGTTTAGTTAAGTAAATGATAGCCAACCTACTCCTTGAAATATTAGTCCAATATTAATGCAAACTGTAAAGATTATCAACAGAAAAATTCCTATGACAGTATTAAGTAAAAAAATGACAATAAAAACCTTGCATAAATAAAGATGACTATCACATAAAAATATGGTTATATATGGATAAAGACAGGAGGGGACCTGAACAGTCAATTATGAGGGTGGAGAAATGGGTAAATTTTTTCATCTTTAACTGTTGTAAAGCCAGTTTAATAAACTATTTAGTGTTCTAAGAGTTTCTCCATATATTGCAAAAAGTTTAACTAAACTATATCCCTTTTTCATTGCTATATACCTAAGAAACTTGAGTATTTTTTTTTAATCTTTTAGATCTCTCAAATTTCACTACTTAGAAACAACTAGCAGTCAAATTCAGTTACCTTGTGCTAGGCTAACCAAGTCGGACATTCTCCCTATTTCAACTTGTGCCACTAGATCAAATCTACTATCAAGACAGAATGGACAAGAATATTAGACTGACTTGAGTGAGTTCTACTCTCTGAGATCCATTCACTGAAAGCATGACCCTCCGCAAGTCTCTGACCTCTCCAATCCTTACGTTTTTCAACCTCTAACTTTCTGTATTCAGGACATTCTCCATAAAAGACAAGTACTTAAACATACATCTTAGATCCTGAACCCATCCCCTACCTCCCTTCCTCCTCAACATGGAGAAACACACACACCGCAGGCAAACCCTGAAGAGGAGATTATAGCCCTGAAGATAAACACTATGTGTTCCCCAAGAATAAAACTAATATTCATGGAACACTCGTACAATGACACTGTACAAAGCACTTGTTATACATGATACAGCTATCACACACCTTTCTGAGTCCCATCACAGACACCCCTGTCCCCCACCCCAGAACCAACTTATGGAATAAGCCAAGGCAATGTGTGTTTTTCATGAATTACTTAAGTACATAAAAAAGTTTAAAAACCAGAGGTCTAGTGACAGTGCCTTTCAAACTGTGAATAACAATTTATTAGTGGGTTGTGGTCCACATATTTTAAGTATAATAGGAAGTGTCACAGTACACTGCATGTAGTAAGAAATATTTTTCGAAACACTTGTCAGTTACATATCGTATGTGTGTACTGGCATCACAATATAAAACTTATTTCTTCTGTTTATCACTGCCAACACGTCTACAAAACACTGGCTAGGCATTTACAGAGTTAGAATAATGCACAGTGATGTGAATAAAAACAACAAAATGTAAGACACTCTAACTGTGATCATCCACAGTAATGAGAATTATGGTACAGGTAATTTGGTCAGAAAGCCAATAACTTTAGCCAGTCATGTAAATAGTCTACCCTCATTTCTTGTTTACTGTGGATACTGACAAATTACTTCATGCTCCGCTATCAAGTCTGCCAGATGGGGGTGGCAGTTAAGAAAACTATGGTAGCAGAGGAAAGGAAAGCAAACTTGTGCATTCATAATAAAATTCCAATCCCTATATAACTGAAAGTAACCATTAAAACCATCCTCTTTCTTCACTTAAAATACTCAAATAATGTAGGCGAGGTCCCTAATGTTAATCCCAGCTAATCAGTCCCGAATACTCCACCTAATTATTGCTCCTTCCCTCCCCTTTGTTTAAAACCAGACCAGGCAATTCATGGGAAACTGAGGTCACAACGCCATCCCTACGTGAAGACACACAAATTCCCAAGCAGGGCAAGCGGGCGGCGCGCCTGCGATTCTGCACTCTAAGGCGGGAAAAGCCGGGCATCCCGTCCAGCGATTCTCCCAGGATTAGCAGCCGCACGTAGCCCGGCGAGCGCCGCACCGGAGTACCAGCAGCTGACCGGGCGCTTCCTTGGGGCTTCAGGCCAGGAAGGCTTGCCCAGACAGAAAATGAAAAGCAGGATCCCACTGTACGTACACACACACACACACACACACACACACACACACACGGTCGGGATAAGAACAACGCTTGTCATGGGGAGGAGGACGTGGAGAGGAGCGCAGAGCGGCAGCAAATCCGTCCCCAGCCCTGGCCCCTCGACCCTATGCTTCCGCCCTCGGCCGCTCCACATCTGTAGAGGAAGAGTCCGACCTGGAATTCACTACGGAAAAAGCATAAGGGAGAGCGAAGCCTGCCAACAACCGGGAATTTAAAAATAAAAAAATTAAAAAAAATTTAAAAAAAAATTAAAAAAAATTTAAAAAGCAAACTTACCACTGTCCGGTTTGCAAAGTAAATGGCCAGGCTTCTGAGACTGCCTAGTCAACAACGAGGCGGATCAGACCTGCTGGAGCCTGACAGAAGTGTCCTCTCAGCCGGAGAAAAGCGAGCCCGGACTGAGGCTTAAATGGGGTCGACCTATTTAACTAGAAAGGGCAACCGTTGCCCCTCACCCGGACGCATCTGGATTGGTTGATAGCGATATCGTTCCAAAGCAAACTTTTCTACGATTGGCCAGGAAAGTCAAGCGGGAACCCAGAGGTGGGGCTGGGGGAGGGTAACAAAGTTGTTACCCAGGCGACGAAGAGACGCGCAGCTCTCCTCAGTCTATTTCCGGAGGCTAGCCGCGACCAGAAAACTGACAACCAAGGTGAGGAAACCCAAACCTCAGGAGGCGGAGAGAAGAGATTCCTTGTCTGTTAGAAAAACTGGGGAGAACTCTAGCTACTTACGACCCTGAGGGTACCGGTACCCTGTGGGTACCGCCAAAACCCACAAGTACCGCCAAGTAGAGGGGAACATTTCCCTCAGTCTCTCAGGATGTGAGTGAGAGATGGGAGGGTTACAGCATGCAAGGAATGGGTGCTGATGGACGGCTAGTGAAGATAGCCAAGTAGCCTGCTTAGCTCTCACACGCACTTTAACCGTGTTTTTTTTTTCCCACTAAAAATGACCAGCCTGAGGATGCGAACCATGTTTCCTTATAGATAGATTGGACTGCTCCAAGTTGGAGCTGCTACTGTACCTTTTACATATACTGGTATCATTTATCCTGATCAGCCTATCTGGATTAGGATATATACGGGGAGGATATAACAGCGATCAGACAAAAAGAAAAAAAAGTAGCCTGCGCTACTTGCTACGTGAACAATGTCCTGTAGCCTGAGAATTCCAGCACAGTCCTGCTTGGTGGTAGACGCGGGCAATCCCAGCATCCTGAGAGGCTGAAGCAAACGACGACAAGCTCGAGCCTACCCTGGAGAATTTAGTGATTTAGCGGGACTTTCTCGAAACAAACAAAAACTATTTGTACAAGTACTTGTCACAGGTGCCTCACCAAGAGCTTGTCTGGAGATTTAAATATTCTATGTCATCTGACTACACCTTTCAAAAAGGGGGAACTGCGTCAAAAAAAGTTAATCTGAATAAAGGGTGGAGGGAAGTTGAGTTTGAGCCGAGCTGTAGGGAACTTTTCTCTAAGAGCTTCCTGCTGTGATAGGCATTTAGAACACTGACTGGAGAAATTGACTTGACAAAATTGCAAAGGGCTAAAAGAAAGTTTTTGAAGAAATTTCAGACATTTAGAGAACAAGTAGATTTTGAATACTTTGAAATAATTCAGCTACTCAACCACGTTTTAGATAGATGTAGAATATGAGACTGGGACAGAAAAACAGGAGAAAATTTATTTTACTGTATAGCTTTTGAGGGTTTTTTTTGTTTTTCTTTTTTGTTGTTGTTGTTTTGTTTTTGAAATAGGATCTTGCGTGGCAATCAGGCTGGACTTGAACCCACTAGGTGGCACAGGCTGCCCTCTAACTAGGAGATTACAGGCATAGGCTTCCATGCCTGGCTCATGTGTAGCTTTTGATAACTCAGGATAAGTTCTGTAGAAACTAAGAATATTTGTCTCCATGTAAACTCACTTTTCTAGCAGGATATTCTTGGATGTGGTGGGTGTTTGTACTCCCAGCATTCAGAAGGTTGAGGCACCAGGCTTTCTTGAGTCTAGGAGTTCAAAGTCAGCCTGGGAAACATAAGGAGATCTTTCAAAAAACAAAATAAAACCTCACCTCAAAGAATGATTGGGATGGTAGAGATTCCTTATAAATACATGGCTAAAACAAAGAATAGGCAGAAGATATATTAAATCAAAAGAGGCTCACCTGGGCAGTGGATTATATCTGTCATCCCAGAACCTGGGAGGCTGAGGCTGCCAGTCTGGTTTACATAGTGAGTTGAAATACAGCCTGAGGCATATAGCAGGATCCTGCCTTAAAAACAAAAACAAAACAAAACAAAAAAAACCAAGACACCCAGATACTTTCATTAAATATCTTCCATTAAATATATTTTAAATATGTAATAAGAACCTTGTTAAATTCCGATAGTTACTTACGTGTTGGTGTATTTGATGGTAGTGAAAGTTAAAACCTAAAAAGGAAACTTTGCGTATTGTAAAGACACTGAAAATGAATTTTTTTTGGTTGAACCTAGGACCCTGTGTATGCTAAAAATGCATTCTTCTGCTGCAGTATACCCATGCCCCCCCACATGAATTATTTTTAATAAGCGAGGAATAATTGATGAGCATGGTTGGCAAAAAAAGTTTTAAAACTTTTAAGGTGGAGGTGGGCGGGAGGAAGATATTTCAGTGGTACAGCACTTGTCTAGTATGCATGAGGCTGTGGGTCCCATTCCCAGCAAAACCAACAAATTTTAAAAATTAGACTGTACCCTATATTATAATTTAATTCAAACAGGCAGAGATGATATTTACTTTCACATCCTCAAAAGAATTTTAATCAAAGAATTCCTACATAAGGTACCATATAAAGTTTTTGAAGAAATTTCAGACATTTAGAGAACAAGTAGATTTTGAATACTTTGAAATAATTCAGCTACTCAGTGGTCAGAATTTTACTTGGAGATATGTTTTTAATCTATTTACTGCACCAAAAGGATAACTTTTGGTGATTCTTTATTACTCTGATTTTATTTACTAGGTACTCTAATTAATAAAATATCGCTTATTTTTTGAATAATCTATAATTCAGCATTTTTACTAATTTCACTTAATTAAACACAATTTTAGCTTAATTAGTTTCTCTAATTAGTTAAAGTCAAAGAACAATATTTATTGATGATATCGGTGAAGGCAAGTAAAATAGAAACCATGATTCCAGCCAGAGTCTGACTTGATTGCAGGGTTGCTGATATTGCAGTGCCATGGGCCTGAAGAGATCCTAACTGAGCCTTTTTTAGTCTCTAAAGGGCTCTACTGTTTTGGTACTGATCTGGTTCTGGAGTATGGGTTGTTTTACTTAGTTATGGCAACTACTAAGATAGCGACCCCAGCTACATTTTGTGAAGACCCTAAGGGCTCAGATTGAGGTGGGAAAAATCAAGAACTCTTTCTGGAAAATGCTACAATTGGCATAATAAAAGAGAATGTGAGGAAGAAAAACACAGGGCCCAGATAATTTAATTTGTAAATAACCAAATCTCAAATAAAAGATTTAGCAATGCATTTGGTTTTCATTGAAACTCTTACTTGAATTTTCCTTAAATTTTTTCTTGGCCTATTTAAATGGTAATGTCACATTCAAATATAGTGAATGTGGCTCCAGAATCTTCGTTTTTAAACTACCCAAATAGTCTGAGCAAACAATAATATATTCCAAGATACAAAAGCAGGAAAATATAGATTGTGTTTAATAAGCATTCAGCTTTTAACAGAATGCAGAACATGTAAGAGAATAATTGGAGTGAAGGGCAGAAAATTAAGCTAAGGATATATCTATCCTGAAGGACCTTGGTTGCCAGATACAAGATGAACTTAAGTGTTTATCAAATTTACAAATAAAACGAAAAACACTGCAAAGTTCAGCAAAAGGTCTCTTTCTTTGTTTTTTAAAAATATGAGTCAAATGAACTTTAATAAATGATTTTAATAAACATTGTTATATTATTGTTAGTGTGTTAGACTTCTAAAAAGCCACTAGAATCTTTATTTTCATTCAACTTAGAATTTTTCATAAAAATTCACATTCTTTATTCTTTTGATATTTTGAAATATTTAATTAGCTATCCAAAAAATATGAATCTTTTGTTTCTCAAGATAGAACAACAAACTTGTCAAGATTTATGTTTTTATTTACATATTATTACATTTGATATAGTTAAAGTTTTATTTATTTATTTATTTTTGTCTTTTTGAGACAAGGTTTCACTATGCAGTTCAATCTGGCCTTGAACTCACTTTGTAGCCCAGGCTGGCCTCTACCTTGTAGCACTCCTCCTGCCTTAGCCTCTTGAATACTGGGATTATAGGTATGCACTACCATGCCTGGCTAGTAAAAGTTATTTTTCCTAAAGTGCTAATTTTATTACTATATTTCTCCTCCAATTTAGTCATAGTGTGTAACTATGTCATTTTATGACAGCATAAATTAGAAGTCCAATTGAAGCCCAATTCCTGAGTTCTTCAGATACATAAAATATTACTAAGAAATGTTATGAATGGTATGTTTAGCATGCACAGACAAAATGGTTTGTTTAATACACATCTTAGCAGTGGCATCCCTTTTAAAGTATCACTTTGAGGAGCTAACCTACTTTAGTAGGGTTGCTCTTCAAACTACTTTTGAAACTACTATTTTAGAATTGCCTTGAGATCTATAGCAAATTATTTTGGATACCCTCAAAGAAACAAATCTTTATATTTTGAGAGTAGATCTGATTTAAAAATATATATAGAAATCACTTGGAGCAAGTCTAATGTGTAATCAAACTGAATGATATCATGATTCTTATTTTCTTGATGATACATGTGAAGGCAATTTCAAAAGAAAATAAAATTCCAGAATCTTTTGAGCATTGATAATATATTCTTATGTATAACCCTCAAAGTTAACTATTTTGAAATACCACATTCACGTGAATTTAATCATGCCTAATTTACCATTCATCAATTACTGTATTCCAGCCCCAGGTATTAAAAGCATTCAATCTACACACAGATCAAGCTTCTGACTGCCCACACTGCCCCACCTCCCACCTAATGAGAATCAGATCAGAGTTCCTTCCCAAATAAAATAGTAGGGATTTGGAGTTAACCTATTTTTCCTAAGTGCTTTATACAGTGCACCCACAGAACGGTAACCTTCCTTCATAACTTGCATATCAGGTGTTCAGGTGACACAAGGAAGCCACTGATGAAGTGGCTTGTTTTCTCTTTTCCTACTCAAACTCTGAGCACTGCTATATTCTGAATCTTTTTCATCTAGCTGCAAACTCCCTCCCAATTCTCACCAAGACCCCGCTTTCTGTATGTCTACCTATGAGCCTTCATGGCCCTAAATATACCTTCATGTAACCATGCCCGTTCATGCTTTCTGCCTTGAAACTCTGCTCATGTTGAGAAACTCCTACTGCCATGTTTCTGCCAATCAGACAAGATCACATAAGTAGTTATTCTAGTATTTCAGACTCTGTATTTGAGACTTTTGAATACCTTGATTACAGCTTACCTTTACATGTTCCAATTTATTCTCTTCTCACCAGTTCATCACTGAGCTCTCATAAGCCCCATGATCAAGTATCTATGGGTACTGGAACTATGTACCAGAGAATAATATTTCATACAGCATTTCATATTTTAGCAAACACTTTCACCTATGTTGTATAATTTGACCATCACAGTTTTGTAGTTAATGCTGACATAATAAATTTCCGTCATATTTGTTGTTTTCAATATCTCATTATACAATCTCAAGTGAGAATAGCAATTTTTTCTGATACCTGAATACATCCTTTTCCTCATCAGAGGTAGAAAATCCTCCAATAAAAATTTTGTTTTAAATGTTAGATAAATATTTAATGAATGCATAATCAATTAATAATTTTAAAATATAAATAGGAACCTCTTTATTTAATCTAATGTGTGTTAATTATTCATTTCCATAACAGGCTATCACACCATAGCATGAGAAAAAGTTGTTCTATCACCTTTTATTTCACCTTTTCTAATTTAATGAGTTTCCAATATAATGAATTTTATCATTAACTTATTCTACATTATTATTAGATATACTATTCATGCCCAGAAAAATTAAACTTTTAAAGAATTAATATTAGCTAACATATGTTGAGTACTTACTATGTGCCAGGTATTATTCCAAGATCTTTTATGTGTATTAAGCTATTAAAACCTTATTAACAACTCTAAGTAATAAATGTTATTTTTATCCCCACTTCACAGATAAAGGAAATTAGGTATACAGCGTTTAAGTAACATACTCAAAATTACAGACCTAAGAAGTAATTGATGGGTACAAATCCAAGCAGTGCTACTCCACAACCCTTACTATTAACCACTATGATACATTGCTTCTATGCTAGAGGCCTAGGGCAATTCAGTATTTGTTTCATACCCTGGATAGTTCCAAAAGATATTAAGATTAGTTTTATATTTAACAAAGAAGGTCAAAATAATGGTAAAATATAGTAATAAAACAGAGGATTTGTAAAATATCATCTAGATGCAGACTGACTTTAACAGGTGCTGGTACCAGCACACATTTGAGACTCTCTTTATGTTACCATTCTAGGCACAATACAAAAATATTCATGGATGATTTAATAAATGCATGAAATAAATGTTTGCATGAATTCATTGTTTAAAATAATTTTTAAAAATATCAGCACAAGTATAGAAATGATTCTATTATATTTAAGCCCAAATCATTAACAATAGGCCTAATTCTATATAATCTTTATTCACATTATTCATTAAAGTCTAACATCTCTGAGATTTTTAATGATCCTAAATTCCTACCCTGCAGAGATTATTTAGAAGACTGATAAAATGATGGTAAGATTGTAGGTAGCTATGACTTTCTTGTTTATATTTTTAATGTGTTACTTCCAAGATTTTCTATAATAGAAATATATAATGTTATTGTTATAATTGGAAAAATAATTATTTCATTGTATGTGAACTTTCACTAAAATCAATGAAACAAGTCATTAGAGTTATCAAGTGACAATATTATGCTAGACATCTGTTATATTATGCTACAGGTCCCCCCAAAGCCTCATGTGGTCATATGTGGGGCTTTTCAGAGGCGGTTGTATCTAGAATGTGTGATGCTGAGATCAAGGGGCTGTGATTATTAAATTAGTCTACTGATGGGTTTGGCATAGTTTTCCGTAGCATTAAGGGTTCCCCAGCTTGGGTGTGAGTGCTGTCTGCCCTAAGGGTGGGTAGTCTGGATAAAATATAAGGGACAGAAAGAGGACTGCTGCAGTTGCTTTCTACTTCCCCACTTTGCTGCCTTCTTCCTGCATTGAACTGCTTCTCCTCTATGATGCCCTTCTACTATACCACTCTGCCTTGGAGCCACCCACCTGTCTTGGTTACATTTCTCTCCTTGCTGAGACAAAGTACCTGATGCCCAGAATTAAGGAAGGAAAGGAAAGGTTTATTTAGCTCACAGTTTGTGGAGGTTTCAGTCCATACTTGGCTGGCCCCAAGGCAGAGTGACACATGGTAGAAGGCAAACGTTCAGGGCAGCAGAACACAGCAAAAACAGCAACAGTCAAAAGGGAGGAAAGGCACCAAGCAGCCTCTTTCCCTCCCTCACATTGTATGCAAACTACCTGCCCGAGGAACGGTGTAGTACTCACACCCATAATCCCAGCATTGGATCATCTATCAATCACAAATCCTAGAAGCCCGCCCCACGACTGCATGAGGATGTGGGGGGACATGCACACACAAACCATAACACCACCTATGAACTGAAACCTCTGTAAACTATAAGCTGAAATAAACCTTTCTTCCTTTAACTTTGAGTGTCAGGTATCTTTTTCTCAGCAACAAGAAAAGTAACTAAGACAACATTATCAAATAAACCAGAAAGGTACAGGCTTGTCTGAGGCAAAAGTACAAAACAAGTAAAGGTTATCTTGGTACATCTCTTAAGAAATCTTTTTTTTCCTGTTAACTAAATGGAATACATAGCCTAAACAGCATATATGAGACAGATAAAAAGGTAGTGTAAATGCTCCATTCTCAAATATTGGTACAAAACCTATAAGCATCTGCAATTTCAACCAGCCCCGAAGTGATTCTATAATGCTAGAGCTTAAACCTAGGGCCTCACTCATACTTGGCAAGATTTCTATCACTAAGCTATCTCCTCAGGTTCCTAAGTGATTCTTTTTTTTAAGACAATAAAAAATGAGAATAAAAACAATAAAAACGATGCAGAGTTTCAAAACAAGGTATTAGAGGGGCTGGGGATTTAGCTCAGCGGCAAAAGCGCCTGCCTGGCAAGCGTAAGGTCGTGAGTTCAGTTCCCGGTACCGGAGAAAAACCAAAAAAAAAAAAAACAAAAAAAACAAAAACAAAAAAACAAGGTATTAGGAAATTAACAATGGTTGTTATATTGCATATTGTTAGCTTCAAAGTAGTTCAGATTACCATTCTTAAGCATACCAAAACCCAAGAACAGTTATAGTAGGTGCTCAGTAAGTGCTTGTTAGGTTGAATATGAAGTTTTAATAAAGCAAGCTAAATACTTGAATTTACTTGTTGCCTCCGGTCTATGGTTGAAGAAATTTACTGATATTTTCAAAAAGAATAAGAGACAATGGGGTAACAGTGAAAGAAAGGAGATGTGACAATAAAAACTTTACGTCTTAAATAAAATAGAAAAGTAAAATACTTATTTGTGATTATTTTCTCCCTCAGAATATGGAATCTGAAAATACGAAGACTAGAACTATGGAAATTGGGACTATTTCTTCAATTTCTACATTGCAAGCCCTCTCTAATCTACTTTATCCTGAAGAAGAGGATGATTTTGACCCTGGACAGGTGGTCATATACTTACAGATGATTTAGTTCTCTTCAGTGAAGTTGTGGAACTGTATTTAAACAACTTGTTCCCACCTTGCTGTGAGAACAGAGCTGTGTCATTTGATATATTCACAGGAGGCTGCAAAGTTGATTATGCATAACCTCTAGTACATCTCTGGCAAACATAATTATATTTTTTTCTAAACCACCTGAACACTGAATAGGAAAATAGTTTTGTAACTATGGTAGCAATAGCCACATTTCAAAATGTTTGTCATTTATATTTATGGTCAAAGAATGCCTAACAACCATTGCAAAGAGTGGTATCTAGGATTGTTTACACTAGACAATATTTCTATAAAACAAATATTTTCAATTATAAAGCATTAATGGAACCCTGAGTACCAGTTTCTTAATTTTTGAAAATGTATCTACACATGAAAACAGAACAGAAAATATTTTGACCCAAATAATAAAGCAAATTAGCTTCATATTACTAAAATTGACTTCCAGAATAACCAAAACATTTTCATATAACTCCCTGTTCTTCATACTTAAATACCAATGAATGCTGGCTATCAGACTGCTTATTATAAGACAAAGTTTGGGGCAGAAATCTCATACTATAGCATAATGTATCAATTTCCACTAAATTATTTGATGAAGTTTTTAATCACTATGACCATGAGTAAACCATTTTATAGGAGCATACATATCAGTTGATTCATCCCAAATTATTTTTGGCTATAACGTCAAAGTATATTTCTAAATATTCTTCAAATTCAGTGGCTCAGATCAATACTGGATTGAGATTCTACCCTCCAGGAAGAGCTTTGGTGGAACAGGGCAGAATTAAACAAAACAGGGGATGGAAATAAAATTCATAAAAGGAGGAACTGGGTCAACATGGAGCCAGGATCAGGAACCAGGAAGTGTTAGCCAGCAAAAAGTAAGAAAAATCAGGATGTTAATAACAGCATTGAATATATATATATTCAATGCTGTTATTAAAATATAAATATAATATATGTATTATATATGGACAAAAGAAAAATGTTGGGAGCAATGTATCAATGAATATATATATATATATTCAATGCTGTTTTATATATATATATATATATATATATATATATATATATATGGACAAAAGAAAGAAGTTGGGAGCAATGTATCAATAAAGTTGGGAAAACATGTTCATATTTTCCACCTCAGATGAAATAGCAGAATGACAATTTTGAGAATCCTATATTCTGGGAAAGATAGGATTGTGCCATATATAAAAAGTATATTAAATATTTGAAAGGCAGTGATCTTGAATATGGTGAAGTGGAACTTGTAATTGAACAGATTCATAAATAAGGATTTACCCTGATTACAAAGTCTGTCCCCTTTGGTGCTTAGGTCTATAGATGTTTATTTACATCTAGATGTGTTTTAGGATAAAAGATGAGTATTTATGAGAGCAGAGAGACTATAACATAATATTAAAGAATTGTACAATATAGAAAGGAAAATTATTATAATCATGTATGACTCTGTGTATCTGGGTTATAAGAAATTTTGAGATAATTGACCATTCAAACACCATAGTACAGATATTATTACAGTATAGAATTAGAGTATCAGAATAGAGAGAGAATAATTAATGCTTCTAATGAAGTATTAAATTTTCCAGGAGAGAAAGTGCTTTTCATTTTTTGAACATGTATTAATCTGGAGAACTGTGGAATGATTACAGGAGTGGTGTGTTTTTGAAAATAAACTCCGGTAAACGTCAAGAGAACTGCTGTATACACATTGGTTCATTTACACTGTCCTTCTAAATTATTTGTTAAGAATCTGGGAGATTGGGAGAGACTGTATTGTTTTTCAAACTCCTGGGGGAACGTTAAGGCCTTTGGGAAATAAGGTTCATCACTCTTCACAGACATTGTGACAAGGGTGTTCAAACTCTCTTACAAATTGCAAAGTGTCATGAGTTGCAATGATAAATTGCTCAGATAATTGGCTGTAGATTTGTGGTAAAGACTCAAGTGATGTCCTTGTATGAAACAATTGCCAGATGGTTTTTAATGTTTTGATTATTTTATACCATCTTTTCACTGAAGATTTTATTTTCAATTATTTTTATTAGATTAATCAATCAAAACTCCCCTTTGTTCTGATACACTGATTGAATCATCATTGTCCATGGAGAGCATGCCAGTTTTTGTCAGGATTAAGATTTTATTTCTATTGATTGTAATTTTTTGTGGAAGGAAGCACTCAATAAAACAGAAGACCCTCATGTTCCAAGAAATGGTTTTCCCTGATTGATTATTGGCAATATGATAATAATTTTTAAAATGTACTACATATTTATATGACCTTAGGATTAAAAAGAGGAAAAAAGTGTCCAGAATACTGTTTTGGGATTTGCACATCAAAATGCCTGTAATACCTTAACCACAGACATAGAGGTTTTGAATCTCCTTTTTTGGAAAAGGAGTAGTTACTGTCTCAAACAATGTTGAAATATTTTAGATTTCTGATTTGCAACTGTTGGAATAATTTAGCCTAATAAAGACCCATGTGAGCTTTCTTGCCATCTTTCAAGGACAGACACTACTCCCCCTGCCCAAACAGGACATTTTAACTTTTGTACATGTTTGAAGACTTAGGAGATGGGGACAGATGCCTGACAAAGGCCAGATAAAGATGCCTGTTTGCCAGGCTCCAAAGAGATAAGAATATTTTTGGCTGCTGGCAACAGAGTGAATTGGAGCTGCAGAGCCTGACATCAGCAAAACAGTAAGAAATTGGAATTTTCATGAAACATCAAAGAATCCTTGAGAGGGATGAATGTGGTAGTTGCCACAATTTTGGTGATATGTGTTGTATTTAGTTGAAAAATGAAGACTGCTTTTATACTAGTGTGTCAAGGCCAGTCTTGTAGGCATGTGTAAGCTTGTACAGACAATGGCAAAATAAACATGTACTGTGTGAAGAATGATGTGGTTCAAGATGTAATTGACACTATTTGTTTGAGGTTGCTGTATTAATTTACTAAGTGTCATGAGGCAGTGGAATGGGAAAATGTTTCATTTCCATAGTGGAAAGAAATAAAGGCAGTTATCAAGGCTTTCAGATGGATCCTCTGAAGTCTGAATACTTAGCCTTGTTAGTTCTTTATTTTGTAAAAGTTTCCCATATCTCTACCTCCCATCTAATTACAAGCAGACAATGCCAAAATCCAAAATTGTCAGTGTTTTTCTACTAATACTTGGTTCTAACCTTCATAGAGATGAATGTGTCCCATTCCTTTATCCCCAGGGATACACAATTCACTGAGCTGGAACTGGGGATTTGGTCTGACCAAAAATCAATTCTGCCCCAGAGTCTGTTAAACTGAACGCTTTTTCAAAGGGCAAGAAAAACACATTCAAAATAATATTTGGAATCTGTCTCTCTGCTGCATAACAACAATGAGTAAACTGGAAAGTTTGCTCAGGTTTTTAAGATGGAAAGCTGAACAGATTTAAAGTGTTATTAATCATATACATTCTATAAATAGTAGTTATAGAACGTTGGACTTTGTTTCATCTCCTCCAGCCAAATTCTTCTTCTGCTATTGGAGCCATGAACCCTGGGAATATTGGACCACCAAAAACAGAAGAGCTCAAAAGTAAGTTGTTTACTATAGCAGTATAGATCAGTAGTAACAATACGTTTTCCTTGGTAACAAAATTATAGGGAGAGTAACAGTAAAACTAGTATTTTTTAAGACATTTATTATTTATTAAATATACTTAAATTGATATGAGAGTAGATTTTAAGTGTTCTCATCACAAATAAGTGATAAATATGTGACGTATTGCATATATGTCAATTGGCTAAGTTTAAGCATTCTATAATATATACAGACTTCAACATTGTGTTGTGTAAGATACATATATAACATTTTTGCAAATTAAAAACTATTTTGAAAAGGAAAACAGTGATAAACTAAAATAAGCATGAAAATGATGAATAGTAATTTATTTATACAGATGTTTTTACTCTACTGTTACAAGGAAATAGTTCTAAAAATAAAAATGAATTAACTTCAAATTATCCACATTCTTTAGTCTATTTTCTAAGATAAAAGACTAAGTCATATGTAATTAGACAACAGTTTTTGAAATCTATTTATCAAAATGCTCAGTTTCTTCACATTCTACTCTCCTATGTTCTAGCAATTTCATATAATTAATTTAATATTTCATTAAAATAATTATTGAAAACCTATTAGGTAATACACAGTATTATTATCCCTGAGACTACAATAGTGATCAAAATAGAAAGAGTCCTTGCTCTGATTGAGCTGCAGACTTTTGGACAAGACACTAAAACAAATCACTACACAATTCTATCTTACGATGAAATGCTTTTAAATTAAAGTTGATGGGCATACTTTAAGAAGAAATCACATGTTCAGGGACTTGACATGCGGCTTAGTGGTAGAGCACTTTCCCTAGAACGTTACAGGTCTTAGTTCAATCCCCAGCACCACCACCAAAACAAAATAAAACAAAAAACCCCACAAGTCCAAAAAACTAGGATAAATAAAATTAGTAGTGTTTCCCAGCATTTTGTCCTATACATTTTTAGAGATGAACATTTCATAAACCTTTAAAAAGATAGAGGACTCTAATTTTGTTGGTCATGATCACAGTTACTAGAAGACAAGCAGGGAAAGGAAGTGAATTTCACCCACCAATTTAGCTCATTGTAGAAAATTATCTGGGAAAATGGTGAAAATAATGTCTAAAATGAGGTCTGAGGGCGGTTTTAAATTTTCAGTTATTATTGTGACATATACTCATGAGGCTATTTGCTTTACTGGAGAGACACTCACTATACGGCACACTGATTCAAATTTGGATGTATTTCTCTGCTGACTATAATGTAGCTCTAATAATCACTGGATTTTGAGGGTAATGAGTCATATGTAAAACGTTAGATACAAATTTGTACTTAGGCTTTGGAAAGCCCATACTATATACAAGCAGATAATTTAAAAAGAATTAGCAGAATCAAAAATCTGACAATCAGGTGCATTTCTGGGAATGCTTGAAAGGACTCAATGTTCTGCACCTAATGCGGGTTTCCATTTGATGCCACAATACAATAAATCTAAGTGGGGTTTTTGCATGCCTCCTGGAGCATGTCTGCTTTTAAACATTTAAAGATCACTGTAGAAATCCAAGCACCTGCTCGGTATTGTACAGAGGACAAGTGATAGAGATTTTCTTTAAAGCTCATGTGTATATGGGAAAAATATTGAATTAAAAAATAATCATTGTATCCACTGCTTTTAGTTTTTTAATTCATATTATTTTAAAAAAATATGTCATGCTTGCAAAGAAAAGAGATCAAAGGGATTTTATATAGTAAAGCAAAATACAAGATAACATACTCCTATCCAAATCAGATTGTGTTTGATTTTTTCTTTTACATAAAAATATTTTATAATAATCCTATTTATGTTTCTGAAAAATGTATATTTCTTCGCATATTTACCTATGTAACTATATCTATCTGTTACATACACAGAGAGAGAGGGAGAGGGAGAGAGAGAGAGAGAGAGAGAGAGAGAGAGAGAGAGAGAGAGAGAGAAAGGAGGAAGGAGGGGAGAGAGAGAGAAAGAGAGAGAATAGAAACATAAACACAATGAGAATGCCAACATTAATTATTTCCAGGCAGTTGGATTACAGAATATCTTACTGTCATCTTTTTACTTATGCATTTTATTTTCTGTTATTATTGTAATTCCACAATATATTGGTCTCTATTGATAATATTTAAACAGTGATTACTAATTTAGTCTTGTTTGGACTGAAAAACCAAGCTAGTGATTACAAATAGAGCATGCTTTCTTTCAATTATTCTAAAATGGCATAAAGAACATGAGCCATTTAGAGGAGGAAACCAATCAACGGCTTCAGCTTAGTGTCCTTTTGCTTTATAGTCATCCCTCAAGCCAGTGTTGAAAATAGTGAGGACATCTGGAATCCAGAAGAGGTTCCAGAAGGAGCAGAGTATGACGACATGTGGGATGTTCGAGAAGTCCCAGAGTAAGTCAAACAAAGACAAGAATGAGGGGCTGGGGATGTAGCTCAGTGGCACAAGTGCCTGCCTGGCAAGTGCAAGATCCTGAGTTTGATTCAAAAAAAAAAAAGACAAGAATGTGTTTAGGAGTTTAAGTTAGGTGTGTCATCTGATATCACTTTTTTTGACAAGTTTCATAAAGTAACTTATACTACACAGAAGATAAAGCTACAGTGATACACACAAGGCATGTATAATGGATGATTTTCCCCTTCTAGAGCAGAAACAAATAATAAAGCACAATACCTTCCTTTTAGTATTTACCTACCTAAAATGAGAAAATATACAGCAGTCATTTCCATTATACATTTATACTTAATACCAGTCTGTTTTCCATTGTGGAATTGACAGTAGGAGAAAAACATCTCATTAAATTGCAAGCATTAATAGAAACCAAATTATGATACTAAGTTTATGTGTCAAAGATTGGCTTTTAATTACTCAGTGTTCTACAATTTCAGTAAAAGGCTATGTCCTCCCTCCAATTATCAATTATTACCCAGATTTACTTATTAGATATTTCAGGATTATGCTTAGTATACAGTGTATTTTGCAAGTAGGATTCAAGTTTTATTTTGAATTGCTTCAACATTATTGAATTGTAGATATAAAATTTAGAATTATAACAAAAATTCTTTCCTTCTTCTTTTTTTTTTTTTTTTTTTGTTTTGTTTTGTTTTTTTCTGGTACCAGGAATCGAATTCATGACCTTGCACTTGCCAGGCAGGCGCTGTGCCACTGAGCTAAATCCCCAGCCCCCCAAAATTCTTTTCATTCTGACTTTTTAAAAGTGTTATCTTGTATTTTTAAGGAATTTAAAGTATGTTTACATACTTACATGAAATTAGTGGTTCAATAGACTGTTAAATATATTTAATTTAAAATGAAATCATGATTGTTTAGAATAGCTGGAAAAACAAAATCAGTATTTAGTAAATCATAAACTATTTGTTTTGAAAGACTTTTATGGCAAGTAACCTGACAGCTTTTCTAACCTTGACTACAAAACTGCCCAATACTTTGACAAAACCCCTATGCTTTCTATCTTCTGTAGGAGTTCTGAAAATAGAAGCAGTGGGAGACTACAGATAATTGACTAGAAAGAAGTATGTAGCTTTCAAATAAAAAATATCAAAAACTGTAAACCTAAGAAAAAATCAAAGGAGATTTTTAAAACAACATTTCTGTCTGTGTTTTAAGAATAAAGAAATTAAATCTCAAGGCTATGTTTACGTGGTACCCACATATCCATGTGAAACGTAGGAAGTAAGCCAGTCATTTGTTATATTGTCTAATGAATCTTACACATCCATATGCAACAAACTCCAAATTGGAGTAAATTTTCAATTGTCATTTTGATGTTTTTTGCTATCTAAAGAAAATATCTACAAAAATTTTAAATGAATAATAACTCCAGTCAAGACATGAGAAAATTGCTTTATAAAATTTTTATCTTTATTTTCTTCTTTAGGAAAATACATTTCAAAATGTTCCAATGAGTAAAGAGGAAGATGGGTAAAGACCATGGGCAGGCAGTTCACAAAATGAGAATCACAGTTGGCCATATGAAAAATAATAAGAGCCTCAACTAAAGCACTAGCCTTGAGGAGAAGTATGAGGGCCATTATTGAGAGTTTGAAGGAAGATTTAGTATTTGATTAGATACAATGGATGAGAATGAAGTATCAAAGATGCCAAGATTTCTAGCTTGAGTGACTGAGTAAATCGTGATTGCCTTAACTGGGACAGGGAATATAGATGGCTGGAGAAGTAGTGAGTTTGGTCATGCATATGTAGACTCTGAGGTGCCTTTGGAACATCAAGGCAAATCTACACAGTAAGCAGTTGGAAAATTGCATTTGAAGCTTCAAGTAAAAGCTAAAATGAGCAAATGCACCCAAGAGTCAACAGCATATGGATAAATACTTTCTCTTGTTTTAACCTGCTTTACCTTTGTAAATACTTGGCAGACATTATAGTCTATTAAGAGAAAAGTGCCACATATCAAATAGCTTACCTATTGCTAGTCTTATTTAAACTCAGAGACATTCCTTTTTCATTCTTGGGCATTCTCATTTGCAAGTGGTCAGAATTTAAGTCTAGTTTTTTAGTCTTCCTATCCAGAAAATTACTACTTCTTCACTAAGGCAGTTGTTATGGTTTGTGTCTAGATGTCCCCCAAAAGCCTCATGCAGTCATGGGGTGGGCTTCTAAAGATTATGATTGGTCCAAAGCTGGGGTTATAGGTGTGAGTGCTACAACCATTCTGGAGTAGGCAGCCTGCATACAGTATAAGGGGGTCGGGGAGACTTGCGCTTGCTGCTCCTCCCTTTTGGCTCTTGCTGTTTTTGTTGTCTTGTGCTGCCTCGACATGTTTCCCCTGTGCCCTGCCACCCTGCCTTGGAGCCAGCTGATTGTAGACTGAAACCTCCACAAGCTATAAGCTAAAAAACCTTTTCTGCCTTTAATTCTGGTGCCTTGTATTTTGTCTCAGCAACAAGAGAAAAGTAACCAAGACAGGTAGAATTAAACAGGAAAAAAATAATTTGTAGAAATGGGTATGTACTTCAGTGATAAAGTGCTTGGCTAGTATGCATGTGACCTTGGGTTCCATCCACCCCACTAAGAAAACAAAAAGGAAGAAGAAAAGAAAGAGACTTACATATTTGTTTCATTCCATCTGAGAAGATGGGTAGCTTCTGTCAGGGTGCTTCTATAAACCATTCTATCCCTAGGAGCCCAAATTTAGGAGGAAGGAAAGATATGTGAATTGTATGTGTGCGATGAAACACTGGGAAGATCTCTACCGAACTAATAATTCTGTAGGGTGATTCTAAACACCCTAGGTAACTGTGCTGACTACATTTCCAGTTTTTCTATTATATAGTTTTCTAAGTATAAAAGACAGTACAGGTCATTTAGTTGACACCCACCTACACCTTGCATAAATCATACAAATGTAGAAGCCAAGGCTGTATGAGTTAATGACTTGACCAAAGCTATATACTTAAATGATAAGATAGTACTAAATTTGAATTTTCTTTCCTTTTTCCAGTACTTGGAATTGCAGCCGGGGTCTCACACATGCTACGTAAGCACTCTACCACATACTGAGCCACATCCCCAGGCCTTTAATCTGGATTTTCTAAATCTGTGATTCAAAATTAGTAGAGGAACCTTTCAGTATATCAATCTAACCCTGTTTCTTAGACCCAGTAATTTTCTAGTTACTGCATTCTACTTTTAATGTTATTAGAAGTTCCTTCAATCCATTTTAATTGTATAAAACAATTAAACTTCATTTTTATAAAATTGTTAAACTTTATTTTAGAAAATAAGTACAAAATAAATATCCTGCTTTGGGGCTGGGGATTTAGCTCAGCAGCACAGTGCCTGCCTGGCAAGCTCAAGGTTGTGAGTTCAATTCCCGGTACCGGGAAAAAAAAAACCAAAATAAATAAATAAATAAATAAATAAATAAATAAATAAATAAATATCCTGCTTTTCAATGGTTGATTTTTTATTGCATTTCTAGATTTCTATTTTTTAATGTTCTACTGCATGTCTAAAAAACAGCCAACATTTTATTTTGTCCTTTAAATTTTGTAATCGTATTTCCTCAGAAGTTTCTAATTTTTTGTTCTGTGATTGGAAATTGCTTCTTCATTAGAGTCTATTCTCACTGACTTTTTTCAGGTATGAGATTATATTCAAACAGCAAGTAGGAACAGAGGATGTATACCTAGGATTGACAAGAAAGGACTCTTCAACAGCATGTTGTCAGGAGCTAGTGGTAAGCCCTTCTCCAATTTCTGTATGATTATTATAGCTAAATTGACTAACTGCTATATACATAATATTATGGCAAGGTTGTAAACTCTTCATAAACAGTGGTTGCTATGTTTCAGGTCCTAGGGGGATAACAGGACAGTTTAAAATTGATAGCATGTACAAAAATCAACTAAATTTACACATTTGATGAGATTTACAAATAAGCATAATGCATTCATATGAGACAATACATGATTTCTACTCCTATTAAAACTACCTAATCTAATTGACCTGAAAACTATTTCATTCTAGTTTTTTCTCATGCATGTTATCTTACTGGTTATTACCTTCTGATGAACTGATAGGAAATCAGAATAAAAAGTTTCCTTCTCTCAATATGTCTTCTTGCTTATTTATATATTGCTTGTAACAGCTCAAGTTGCAATAAGCACTTTTAAATACTGTTCTCTTTTTAAGTTTTGTATCTGAACGTTTGATTTATTTTTATTTTTTAATTTTTTATTTTTTTGGTCTTTTTGAGACAGGATATCACTGTGCAGTTCAGGCTGGCCTTGAGCTCACTTTGTAGCCCAAGCTGGCCTTGAACTTGTAACAATCTTCCTGCCTTGGCCTCCCAAGTGCTGCCCAGCCTGAACATCTTATTTAAACTGCTAAGAATATGTTTAGAATGTTACCTGGCTCCCTTATTTGAATGTACAGCATTGAGGAGCATCCTTTTCAAAATCAATGTTTCTATATAATACAATAGTATTATTAACAATATCAGTGATACTACCTTACTACTGCCTTTTTTGACCCTTATAATGATCTTATTAAAAAGTCTGAGCCAAACCCAAACTGTGGAATTCAATATGTTTTGGCAACATACACAAGTAACTATGACGTTAAAAGTTTATTTTTTGAATTCTGGGGCTATGATTATTTTTCTCTCCCCTCTTATATGATAGAATGCCAAGGTGCCCATACAAAATGCTTTGTATTTTTTCCTTAAGCACACGATAAATGGAATTTCTCTTTAGTATGAACTTCAAGTTGTCTCTTATTCGCAAAATCTAAGACATTCAGTTGAATCAAGTAACATAATGAGAATAGTGACTGTAAGTACCTCAGGAGATTTTTCAAACTCTAATGAGTTAAGATTTCAAGTGATCTTGATGTAATTAGCTTCCAGAGTTTTACCAGTAATATTCAAACTTCTCTCTTAAATTACTGTAAAATTATGTATCTGATGTCTAGTATTGGGGATTGCTCCAGGCTCTGGAGAAATTCCAGGTTATAGATAAATAAAACTGTTGTGAACCTTCCTCTTTCTCTCAGGCAAATTGCCACTAGTTTTAATTTTAAAAAATATACTAAATAAAGAATCATGGAAACTAAATCACACCTCATAATAGGGATATACAGTTTACATCAGACTCAGTAAGTTTATACAGAAGACTTATTCCTCCCCTCTAATGAATTTATGATTGACTGGGGAGATAAAACTAACATAAATGAATTAATTTTATTATTAACAGTTAAATTCAATGTAGGTAATTATAAGTTTATTACTAGAAGTTCAAAACGTTTGTGTAAAGCACGGACATTACTGAAGGGCAGCAGCAAACGAAACATTTGCTGGAACTATAGCTCTTCAGTTCTTATATACTGTTCTGTTTTCTCTTGCTTTCCTTTCTTTCTCTTTCAATCTTCATTTATTCAGTCTTTAAATACAGTACTCAATGAATGCTACTACATACCAATTGCTAAGTATTTATCCTAAATACTAAGATATGAAGAAAAGTAAGAAACTGTAAATTGTCCCCAAGAAATTTACAATAAATGAGGTAAGATACCTAACCGATCATTGCAGTTCAGCATGGCAAGTACATATAGAGGCATATACCAGATACATGGTGATATAAATCAGAGAGGGATCATCTAGCTGTGGGTGGATTAGAATTTTACAGTAGACAACATTCCAATCAGGATATTCTACTAAGAGGTAAGAGAACATGGAAAGTTATCCAGACATGAAATAGCATGACATATTTGAGTAAGCAGTGAATACAACAAAGAATAAGAGTAAATATGGCCAGTGGTATACTGGTAACCTGACTTCAAAAGTAGACTTTTTTTCCTTTAAAAAGCCCTATTTTTTGTTGAGGGTAGAGCACAGAGGTAGAGCATTCACCTTGCATATATAAGGCTCAGGTTTGATCCCCAGTATTGTGAAAAAGAACAAAAGACTCAGAATAAGAAAAAGTGTGGACCCCATGTCCAGTATTTCTTGCTCAGATTTATGTTTCTTATTCTTATTGATAGTATAATGTTTCCTTGAATGTAAGATATCATTAAAGTATAAACATACCCATAAATTAATAACAATACTTTGTGGGAAATATAGGTACACTACTACATTAAATATATACATTGATGTTTTGATGTATCTAAATATCAGAAACATTAAAATGTGAGCAAAATTGTACCTCAGAATTGGTTAAATATTTTATTTGGGTCTTGGACCTTGTCTATATGTAATATTCCAATCCTGACACTTTCAGAAAAAGAACCTTGGTTATACTTTTGCTTAAACTAAGGTAAACAATAGGAGTACAATTTGTGTAAGTATAAGGAGTTATTTAGGCTTTAAAAATTCAAAAGGACCACCCTTTTGTTTACCCTTTCTGGATTCCAAATAAAAATGTGAGATTTATGAATCCTAAATTAAGTGATGGCACTAAAGAAAATCTGAATTTAAAAATGTGTATATCTTCACCAAATTGTTTTTCTAACAGCAAACCCAAAAGCTTCTTTATTCAAAGTCTGTTGTTATTCTCCACTACTTTTCCCCCAGGTTTATAGTTACCAAATATCATTGTTGGCTATAATTTTTAAATGAAAAATACACAGTCTATACTTTTTAAAAATTTTTTCTGCCAAGCTTTTGTTCAAATATAATTTTATTAGAAAGCCCAGAACACAAAACACATAAAAACACTATTTCCTTGGTTGAAAAGATACTATTGACTACAAAGGTACTGCCACCCAAAGACACATCTCTTAGAAAAATAGCTCCTTGTAGCAGTTTCAAAAATACTAATTTGGTCTCTCCTCTTTATACTGTAGTTGAGAACTAAGGACATGCTTACAAGGTATCACATATCACTGTAAATAAATGGAAGAGTAGTAGAAGAAAAGAAGAGATGTAGAAGGCCTTTTTGTGACATATACACTACATTAGAATGCCTCCTCCTCATTTTATTATCCCTTTCTTTCTTTACCTATCTATATTCTCCATCTTTCCCTTACAAAGCTCCCACTGTTTAGAAAATTTTTTTTCCAGCTATTCCTTGGACAGAAAACTAATATCTAGAATGTATAAAGAACTCAAAAAATTAGACCACCTAAAATAAAAGATCCAACTAAGAAATGACCAAGGTGAAATGAACAGACAATTTTCAGAGGAAGAAATGCAAATGACCAACAAATATATGTAAAAATGTTCAACATCCCTGGCCATTAGAGAAATACAAATTAAAACAATGCTAAGATTCCATTTTATGCTAGAAAGAATGGCAGTCATCAAGTCAAAAAATAACAAATATTGGCATGGCTGCAATGAGAAAGGAACCCTCCTACACTGTTGGTGGGAATGTAAATAGTACAACCATTATTAAAATCATGGAAACTATCATGGAAAAAATCATTTAAAAGTATGGAAACGCATCCAAGAACTAAAATTAGAAATTCCATATGACCCATCTATCCCCCTATGTATCTTCCCCAAAGAGCTGAAGACATCATACTGTAGTGACACATGCATACCAATATTTATAGGAGCACAATTAATAAAGCCTAACCAAGGAAGAAGCCTGTATACCCATCAACAGATGATTGGATAAAAAAATGTGGTATTTATATTTAATGGGATATTATATGGCTACAAAGAAGGCCAAATTTGAGACATTTTTAGGAAAATGGATGCACCTGGAAAATATAATGTTGAGTGAAATAAATCAAATGCAGAAGTTTAAACATAACATAGTATCTCTCATCTGATTGAGGCAAAATACAAACAAAGAGCACAATAAAGGATGGATAGAAGGTGACAAAGGGATAGATCTCTTGGAAATAGGGGTACAAGAGAACTTGAGTGAGAGGAGGAGGAAAGGGAAATAAGTAAAGATATGACATGTACAGAAACCTAATAACTTTAATGAAAATAAACACTGTATGTCATAAACATGAGATAAGATTAGCAATATCAATGAAAACAGAAATGGAGAAAGAGGATTTAGAAGAGGAGGGCGGGAACTGAGAGGAAAAGGGACAAAAAAAGAAAAAGAAAAGAAGTGAACTGTGTTACATACATGTACCCACTCCCCAAGATGATTGTAAAATGTATATACTGCAAACATGTACTAATAAAAGGATAACATTAATAAATAAATGAAAAACCAAGTTCTCCAACAAAAGGAAGTTAATATATATCTTTGAATACATATGCATTATTGTTTGCTATAATTTTTTAAAATTAAAAATACTTATTAAGCACTTACTATGTGCCAGATAATATGGACCAGATACTGGATACACACTGTTGAACAAAATACACAAGGTTCTCCTTCTTTCCAGGCACTTACTGTCAAAACATCAAGCAGTTGTTTTGACAGAGCAATAGTGTAGTTGGACCTCCTTTGTCAAACTTTCATAGATTCATTTAATAAGGAAACAGTGACCCCCCAATGAAACAGTTTATTATGCACACAGCATTAGCGGGATCAGTGTAGTATCAGCTTCTGATGTTTCTTTGCCCACAAGGTCAAGACAAAGGGGTCTGATAGCAGGTAACATAAGTCTGTTGCTGAAGAGCCAGCTCTAGACTGCAGCTAGCTGTTTTGTAGTCTGTATCTGTACACCAAGATAGTGAGATGTGGAAAGTTCTATCCCTTACCGGAACAGGGAGTAGGATGAGAAACTCTCTAATAGTTACCTCTTGCAAGATAGGAGCTTCCCACA